TTTTGTCTTTACCTACATACACATCAAACAGACTTCAAGAAAGCAATTTCTTGTCATGTATGAACTATAGTAGCATTAATGGAAAACTGGATTTTACAAAACAATTCTGTAGCCTAATAACAAAGTGGTTAATTCCTGGAAGCCCAGATAATAAACAGAAGGCATAATGTTTATTATCTGTTGATATATCCTCAGGCTGTGCTTTTCCCCTAAACAAGAGGAATGGTGCTACAAAGTTAATGCATGTGTCTACTCTGGCTATTAAAAAGAGATCACAGATTGTGACTCAACCAGTGCACATAAACACATAGACAGGGTGGTCCAACATGCTTCTGGCTGTGTGTGTGTGTGTGTGTGTGTGTGTGTGTGTGTGTACACTTGTAGTCTCTTCCCAGAAATGTGCAACAGTAAACAGACGAAGAGGCAGAGAAGTAACATTACCACTACCACCGAATGGGAGCATAAACAGTGACACACAACGCAAAGCAATGCAACACTGCACGAACTTCCTCTCTTTTTATGTTTGTTAGTGTGTACGGGCACATACTGCATGTCAGCGCACATATCTCAAAGGGCAAGGGGAAAAAAACCCATCTGCAATCAAAGGTGCAGAGGCTGCAGAGAGCAACTGTGAGGCCCCCTGAGAGCTGCCCTGCTTAGACTGGGAGCCTCTGGCAGTCCCCTGGGGGCTCAAGGGGCCCTAACCCTTCAGTCTTTCTTCTCTGACACTAACCAGACACAGCAGCACAGACACATTCAGGGATTGGGGAGTTGGTATATATATGAGAGAGAGAGGGAGAGAGACAGAGACCAATAGGCAGACATAAAGCAAGAAAGAGGGAGACATTAGCACATAAGCAGAATGGACCCAGCTTTAACCCACAGCTTAGAGCATTGGACGACAGTTTTTCATATCCTCCTCTCAGTCTCTCCCTTGTAAAGAGAGCAATTACATGTCCAGGACAATCCCACATTAAACAAACATTAGTTCTCTCTCCAGAGCCAGACTCAGCCAAATTACATTGTTTCCAGATGCCCGTCACAAAAACACGCTTACACCCACCCTCTCTCCAAATCCCCTTCATCTCCTCTCCTCCTGCCTGTTTCTCCTCTTTCTATTGTTTCTTTTTTCCCCTGGCATTTGGCTCCTCTTTATCTCTCCCTATAGCTCCCTAAACTTCTTCACTTCCCAAGTTAAGATGAGGGTTTGTGAATAACACCAGAACAGGCTGTTTCCAAGTTCACTGCCACATTCACTACAGATGGAAGCGAGGAGGGCCAGAGGAAACAAAGAAACGATGAGACAGCAGTCCTTCTTATAGATGTCACATCTTTAAAACCAATGACAAACCTTAGCCAGTGTGTGAGGTCATTATAACCGGCCAGATAAGAAATGCTATGCATGAGGTTTTATGTAAATTTCAGTTTAGGATTAATACTGATGGCGCGTGTGGGTAGAAATAAATGGCTAGTCAGCTAATGTTCAGCTTGTAGATAACGTTTGAAACTATTAACTTCTGTACTGAGTAAACTTCCTTTCTCATTTGCTGCTGCAATAAATATTTAACTAGCTGTTTATTTTCCATCTACAATCTTACTCCACTGATATGAACAAATGAGGCAGATATTTGCTTAAAATTTTAGTCTATATGCAAAGACAATTTAAGCACTCATCTCATAGTCGAATAGATTCAGTATTACCATCTATGACAAAACCTGACAGTCTTCTGTAAAAGTCACTGCAGCATGATAACTCGGTTCTGTTGTTTCAGTCGCACCTTTTATGAAATGATCTGATCACTAGAGCAGAAACGATCGTAATGGGCTATTTTTGCAATTAAACAATCATTTAAATCATTTCTAAAACAAGAATACCAAACACTCTCTACTACCAGCTTCTACTACCACGATTTGATTTTAATAAACTTTATATTTTTAGGTTTGTGGAGTGTTGGTTGAACAAAACAATGTATATGAAGGTATCACATCGGGCCCTGGGAAACTGTGGAAATAGTTTTTACTATTTTTTAACATTTTGGAAAATAATCAGCAGACTAACTCATGATGAAAATAATTGTTAGTAGAAGTCCTACTAATCATGGCTACATTTTAAACCCTCTCTCAATGCCATACTTCCATTCAAATAAAAAACAAAATTTCTGCATCTGAACATGCTCACAATGACCATGCTAATATTTTAGTTAGATGTTAACCTGGTTCACCATCATAGTTTAGCATGTTAAGCATGTTAACATTTGTTAATTAGCACTCAGCAAAGAGTGCAGTTGAGGCTGATGGGAATGTCATTCATTTTGCAGGTATTTGGTAAATAAACAACAAATCTGTCATCACCACGTAGTACAATTCATCCTGAAGTGAATGTGAATGCATGTACTAAATGTCATGGCAATCGAGGCCTGGCTGGAAGGTCCCCTGCTCTCTGAGCAGCACAACACAACAGGCCTTATCAGACGCTCAAAAACAAGAACTAAGAACAAGACGTTTACTACCAGACAAATGGGAAAAGCTGATTGTGCACTTCTGTGTGAGTGTACTTGAAGCTCAAGTCCTGTTCAAGACACAATTAAAGTGAATTTATATTGGGGGTGGGGGTGGGGGGGTGGGGTGGTAAATAAAGCTAACATATGACTCCTAGCTGGATAGTAGACACAGGAACCTTTGTAGACATGGGAACCAATGTCACATTGACTTAGTATAGTCTAAGCTCAAGGATAACTACCAAAAATGTTGACCAGCTCTCTTAAAAGTCTATGACCCAGACTAGATGTCAGACACTATTCTAGGAAAAAAAACTCTCAATGTAAAATAGTCATACTGGAAATCTGCCTTGTGCCCTTGAGCAACACATTCAGTGTCTTACAAAAAAGAGGGGGTGCTGCTGTGTAGGCGACCTTACACTTTGACCTCTCATGACGTATTTGTTTTATTATGTTTGTCACTACAATTAAATGCACTCTGAATGCACTCTCTTACAGCTGGCAGAACTGATACCTTTAGCAGAGAAGATTTAATCTTGGCAAAGTAATCTCTCTTTCTGTTTTATGTTTTTCTTTTCCATTTTCAGTCATATATACGGTTTGCGTTTATGCATGTGTGTGTAAATAAAACAGAGCATTAAAAGAAGCCCTGAAGGTTGGACGCATCAAAATAAAGCTGGATAATTGCATTATATATGTTTTTATGGATGTGTGTGTTTATGTGTGTGCATAGATGTCTGTTTGTAGGGCCTCATCAGACAGTCGCTGCATGGTTGAAGGAGCACTCAAATACACTCTCGTTTCCCCAACACCTAGGGGCATCTGTGGGGACCTCCTAATACATCTCCAAGCCCCAGACACATGCACACACGCACACACAAATATGTTTACACACAAACAGCCATCTAGGACCATGCAAATCTAATGAGACAGCCAGACTGAGATGTAGACAGACAAACCTGAGGGCAGAGGTGCCTCAACACAAATAGAGACAATTATACATAGTCAATAGTTAACAGAGTGGACTGACTGGTCAGGTGTGGCTGTTACTAAGATCTACATATAGTTAATTGCATTGGGTCAATATCATCATTAATTTATTGGTTTAGGCTCCACCACTTAGTTACTGCTGAGATGCTGTTAAGATTTCAATTTCCGATTAAAACTGATGTTTCAGAGAAATTTCAATATTAATCTGGTACCACTCTGAATGACTGATTTTAACATTCAGTTTTATGAACGTTCAACAGTTTCATCAAATATTAGTCCACCAGTGGAAACTATTTCAATGCAAATGAAATGTTCGTGATACGGACTGGGAAAGTAATGAGAAAAAGACAAAGGACTGGTGTAGACAGAGTTGCAGACTGCCACTTGACAGATGGCCTGCAGCAACAGGCCTTAAATTTGGTGCTCTCCAACATCAAATTATACACCACATCCTCATATGAATCCTGAACTGGTTGATATAACTGGTCCCACCAGCAAAATGTGGAGTTGTTTATTTTACAGCAGACAAAACATTTCAAAATCAACAATGGAAAAAAATGCCTCAAAGTATTTTCTTGTTCACTCTTGTATCCTTGCAATATCAAACAGCATAGAAACAACATCTTATGAATACACGGCTAATGAACTGAAAATTTATCATAATTCATATTAATTATAATGTTGATGATCAATTTTTTGAGTGATCTATTCAATACAAATAGAGCATTTTGCTTGTGACGGCTTTGATAAATTCGTTGAATTTTTTTATTATGGCTTGTTTAGTTAGGATTAGGTTTACGTTAAGATGTTGGACAATGATGGACAATTCAACATTTTATTAAGTGTACTATTTGCCTTCTTGCTGTGAGTTATATGAGAAGACTGACACAACTGTCATATCTGCTTGCTAAATACAAAGCTTCAGCCAGCAGCTGGTTAGCTCGGCTTAGCTTAGCTTAAAGGCTGATAGCTGGGGGAAACAGGTAGCATGGCTCATGCTACTTATTAACATGTAATATCTTGTTTATTTGTACAAAAACTGAAGTTGAAAATGTAAGGTCTTACAGGGCATTATTTATCAAGACTATTTCTTTGGGGGATGCAATAACTTGCCACACATAAACTAAACTAACCGGTAGCTTCATATTTAATGGGCAGACATGAAAGAGGTGTCAATCTTCTTGTGTAACTCACAGCAAGAAAATAAGTGCATTTCTCAAAATATTTAATGATTTCTTTAAGACAAATATTTTGGGCTATGGCTACTAATGATACATCACTAATTGAAAAAATATAGATTAAAAATTTTTTTAAAATCACTAAACCCGACTATATAAAAGTTGTAATTCATGCAACTTCATGTGCAAATTCATGTAATCTCACACTCACCAAAATATGACAAACGCCCATGTCAACTACTGCTCCTTACCCAAGCAGACATAATTTGCCAACCACTAATAAACTGAATGCAGACAGAGAGAGCGAGAGAGTGAGTGTGTGTGTGTTACTCACGTAGTCGGGCAAGGCTGTGTTGTCTCCCTGTCTGCCTCGCAGACTCTGTGTTGCCTGCTCCAAAACCTTGTTGTGCTTTTTGGAAAGCAAAGCAAATAAACTGCAGAAGAGACACAGAGAGAGTGAAAGGAGTCAGAGTAGCAATGACAGATGAATGATACACTTCTATGAAAACCAAATAACCCAAAACCCAAATACACAGTCGTCATACTGCACATGTTGACCTGTAATTAATGTGCTGTAAATACTCAAACAGTGGCCTTTACTCAGCTTAACTGAAGAGTAAAGCCTCTATTTAAGACTGATTATTATTAGAGACCGGCCTGTTTTGCTTTCTAAATGAGGCCTTTAAAATAATGAATAATAATGAATCTTGGAATAATAAAATAATCATGAAACTGGCAGGAGACTGTTTTAGAAATTATGTTTAAAAATACTAAAAATATGCTTAAATTTACCAATATTTTTTAAGCCTTCTTTTTATTTGCCCAAACAGGTCACAGCTTTGGTTACTTTTTGAGAATTTCCAGCATTTGAACATGTACTTGTTTGCTCCCAACTGGAGGTGACAGTCTGTCGTTTGACCCATCAGTTAACCGACTTGCTTTACCCTTATTCTATGTGTTTGTGTGTGTACACTTGTCTAGATGGGATTGCATGATTGCATGTGATGGCAGGACACAGACAAACATCAACAGTCACATAGTCTGCTTGGGTGACTTTAGGCAGTAGCAATAGGAAGGGTCAATGCGCTCACACATTAATGGCACAGTGTTAACATCACAGTCAGCTGAATCACTCAACAAGCGTGTTCATGCAAGAAAAATGAAAGAAAAAAACATTTTTCCAAGGATTTGCTTTGCTCTGTTCTTATATATTGGTTGACTAAAAAGTGGCAACATTTGTTTTCTTTTTTGATCATCCTATTTATCACAAAGTGTTCATTAGTGACCTTCTGTTTTAATTACAACTTTTTAATACTCTCTCTACACCACCCAAGGGTGTTCAATCTTTAATTTGTGTGTTAATCAAGTTACAAAAAATTTGCAAAATAAATTAAATTCAATGACAGTCAAGGGCTAGGGAACCTCAGCATAAACAGATCTCCCTTAGAGCAACACCTGTCCATCTGTCAACACTGGGAAACTCACACACACAATCTATCAGCATTCTTTATCCAGGCTAATTGGCCAAATGATAGCTGAATGGAGGTATCTGAGCAGCTATGTGGAGGTCTACTTGTTATCTATGGACCCAATGTCAAAGGAGCCATTAGCCACATCTACTTAACAGGGCCTGTTGTACTATCTAGTAAGTTTATTCTATTTCAAACGAAAGACCACCAAGGCAGTTCCATCTGGGACCCTTGCCCACGATAACATGACTAGTTGCTCTATCACATCCCTCCTTTATGCCGAGGCAGTGATGGACACGGACAGGAAGCAGTGACACAGCGACACAGAAGGATTTCCACACTGCTGGCTTAATCCCAAAATAAGGCTGAGATAATGACATAGTCTACCCCAACACACTGAAGATGTAAAGGTGCTCTGTCTCTAGCAGGACAAAGAATTTTAACATTTTTTTTTTATTTGGACACACAGTTTGTGGTCACACGTTGGTTCTCCAAAATGTGTATTCGTACATTTTGTAGGTATAACTTGAATTCTGAACATTCATTTTATGGCTTGAATAAGTGATCTCTGTTTAAAAAAAAAAAAAAAAAAAAGCGTTTCCATTAAAATGCTGCTCAAGTTTTAAGAGAATTTGGCAGGAAAAATTGGAATTGAAGAAGTAAAATGAGGATTAGCACATGACTCCATCGATCACCTTTATCGGAATATATTCAAGAAGACATGACGAGATTGCATAATTAATCAACGAACAGTAGCACCAATACATCAGGACATTTATTTGCTGCAGCCTGCCAAAACTTGTATTTTTGTTACGAAAATTAAACCAGTGACATTCCAGTAACATCCATGTGCATCGAGCCAGCTCTTCTTATTCTTACATTTTTTGGGGGGTTTCTGGTGGAGCGCAAGCATGTAATGGTCAGCGGCAGCAGGTAAAAGCCGGTACAGGTATTTTCTCTTTTTTAAAGAATTCTTTTACACACAAGTTAAAAATGTGCATTAAAACAGGTGAATGTGAGCAGATCGGTGATTTGACTGTGAACTAGAACAGAAATAATAAAACATTAGTAGGAAACTATTTTGATCACTAGTAGAAATTTAGCAATCTAGCAGTTTTTTAAGCAAAAATTCCCATGTCTAAACTTCCCAAATGTGAACAGTTTCTGCTGTGATAGCAAACTGAATATTTTTGGGTTTTGGACTTGTGACTGGCATTTTTTAGAGACATTTTATAGACCAAACTATTAATAGAGAAAGTTATTGGTAGATTCGTTAGTAATAAAAATAATCATTAGTCGCAGCCCTTCTGTGAATAAAACTCTGTCTGTTGAGTTTGCAGGCGAAGTAATCAGTGAATGAAGGGACATGTGAGCATGTGTGGTGACAAAGGAGACTGGATATGGATGCAGATGCAAAAGAGGGAGGAACAATGCGGCCAAAAGGCAATATAGATAGAGAGAAAGGATGAATAGAAAATAATAAGGAAAGATGGCGGGCAGTAGTTGGGGCGAATCCACCCACTGCTCCCTGTAAATAAACAGCAGCAGCCGTGATTCTCATAGAGTCAATTGAGGAGCAGAGTTCAGCCGTGTCTGGCTGAGATGTGGAAATTCCTGGCAGGAAGTTTCCCTTTATCTAGCAGCCAGCCAACCAGTTTAGCCCAGCCCAGGCCATCATAGTCATCATCATTATCATTATCATCAGACATGGAGTCAGTTGCTCTACATCACTGCAGGACAGACGTGCACGTTCACAGACAGAGTTCCTCTCTGACTCAAAACACCAGAGAGTCACAGATATGGAGAGGGACACAGGCGGTGAGATAAGAGGATCCCGGAGTGCACGTGAATGTGTGCATGTCTTTGGGGAAGGAAACATTCCTTCCCGTGTGCCTGGAGTTAACAAACAGGCATGAATGACTTGATATGTCTGTGTGTGTGCACGTGTGTGTGTGTGGTTTGGACCTTGTCCTCTCAAGTCTTCCGTCTCCCTGTAGGCCAAACTGTTTCCCTCAATTCTCTCATGTTACATAATGTTTTTTTTCTACACAGGCACTGCACCCTCTCAATATTTCATTTCTTAGTCATTTCTTCTGCTGCAGCCACTGTCACGTTACTATAGTGATAAATATTTTCTGCTGATTCAACAAGAATCATTAAAATGAATGAGCATGTTTGTGTGTGAATTAAGACTTTCCATTCCTTGTGTTTTGGCAATTTCTGTCTCTCCACTGGCTTCTCTGTCTCACACAGATGCTTTTATTAAAATCTGGTGCAGATAATTGTTCTGAGGGCCACAGCTTACACGAAGCTGCAATTAAGTTTGAACAGACACCAGCTAAGTGTGATACACAGTACCGATGCTGTTGGTTTCAGTGTATGAAACTTCAAAAATGTCAGATCGTCATCACATTTCCTGTGGTTTGGGCAGACTTTATTCACATTCATGCTCTGAGGAAGAGCCTCTGGCTGAAACATGAAACTCTGACTGCTTTGATGCTGTGGTACCTTTTTCTGCTTTAACTGATATAGATTTTTGAGGTTGAGCATCCAGGTTCTCTCTCTTGAATGCACACTCGTTTTCTTTTATTTAAACTGTCAGCCAGAAAAGAAGCATATTCAGCACAGTTAAGAGCTGGTAGACGATATATACTGAGAGCCAATTCCTCTGCTGTCAGAGGTTTTGCCATGCCATTCAAAATGTGGTGGCTATTCCCTTTATATCTATGAGTGAATTAAAAACATTGCAGGAAATGTTGAAAATCAATGCGGGGACTGTTTTGTGGTAATATTGGACTTTTATACATGTTTTGCATTAATGTATTGAAGTATTTTCATTTGTCAGGCATTTCATTCACTGGATTAACCAAAAACAGACATTAGTTTCTGGTTATCTTATCAATTAACAGTTTCTCAATTTATTATATCACGATATTTATTGATATCATGATAAATCGTCCATATAAGAGGTTGTCAAAAATATAAAAATCAAGATCCAAATGCTAATTAAAACCACCAAATATAAGACATTTTAATGCCAAACCCCAGTATTTGACACCTTGCCTTTTATTTTAAGCTAACTCTAATTTTCTCCATAATAATAAATTAAGATGGGAACTGGAATAGGCTGTATAGAAAATTAATGGATAGAAGAGGAGGGGCAACCAGTTAATTTATCATCCTTTGTTCTATTCTCACCTGATAATGCGCTGGGCAGCGTACTGGTGCAGACATCGAAATTGGGCTGACATGTTGGCAAGTGCAGCCAGACAGTTGGTATGGAGGTATTTATCCTGAGGAGGATGCACACAACAATGATGTTACTGTTAAATTGCAAACTACTTTGTGTTTATTTCAATCTTTACAGTTCCATCATGACAAATGCTGTTGGTGAATGTTACTCCTTGATGTAATATATTGCTATTTGCACCGGTACATGCGGTTGCAGCTGATGGATTTCTCATTGCATGTTATGTTTGCAAGTGTGAGAGTGTGTGTGAATGTGTTCATCTTACCCTTGTACGGGTCATGTTAAACTGGATGGTGCGGATGACCACCAGGATGAGCAGACTGCCAAGTGAGATCTCTGTCAATGACCTCTCTGTGTACCATGAGATGTTCTTCAATACCTGAAACAAGAGGGAGAGACACAGAAATGAGTCACAAACGGGAATGAGGAAAAAATGTACGATTATCCCAGCAAGTGCAGGGAGTGGATGGTTTCAGTGGTAATTCCTGTGTGTGTTTAACCGAGTCTACCCACCACCTCATGGATGGAGCGATTGAAGGCATCATCCTCTGTGAGAATGAGGAGAATAATGAGGGCCATGTAGACGTGATGAGAATTTCTATCCTCTACATGGTAAAGGATCTCAAGGATGGGCAACACCTGAGAGGAAGAGGAGGAGAGAATAGGACAAAGGGCTGAGCATATTTCTCAGAAATTACATTGACTAAACCTGTTTTTTTATATATATATATATATATATATATATATATAAAATCAAATACAAACAAATAGAACATTGGATGTAAAATGTAAACATCACTTTTTGCACCTGATGCCATATCATAAGGTAAACACAATCAAAAATGTATCAAAACATTTATTAAAATGTATAAAATCTAATTATTATCATTACTATGTTAAGTGGTGCTAACATAGCACCTAGTAAAAGAGACAAAAATGCAGTACTGCACATGTTAGTTGAGAAGACAAGATTGACATTATTTACTTCTTTTGAAAGTCATGGATTCAATCATAGATGGTTTCTAAACTATAAAGATAGAAATGAGCAGAAAAGAGAAAAAAAGTGATCGGCTACCTAAAGAGTGCAAAAAGTTTCATACTGTCAGAGTTAAAGCAGTTAGTAGCTAGCATAGTGAGTGTTAGCTCATTACGCTGTTGTGCAGCAGTGCTTTATTGTTCAGCAGAGAAAGTGACTAGACTCATTAGTAGCCCCCCCACATCCACACACATCCCCACACACACACATATCCCCACACACACACATCCACACACACACAGATATAATAGGCTCAAGCTAGATGTGCTAATGATGGCATTTTATCATAGCAGCCATAACTACAGAGTTACACAGAAAGGTCATGCTGATATCAAAAGTAAAGAAATGTAATAGACCTGCAGTTTCAAAATGTGACTGTAAATTAAGGTCATTGTCTGCACATGTTTGGCTATTATCATGGATGTGTGGTTTTCTGTTGCAATTAGTTTAGATGCTGTGACCTCACATCTCTTTTTAAACCGGTTACAAAGGCTTAACAAATACCAGTGAATGGGAAAGTGGTCTCATACTTCTGGACCCCACTGTATACTCTATTTTAACTCCTATTTCCTCTTCCTATCCAATAATACCAACTTATTTTTGGTTGCACTGTGTGAAGGAGCCTCATTTGTGACTGTCCACCAATTTCATACTGTATGTGATACCATCTGACATGCTGAGCTGCAGATTGATTTTCATTCACTAAATACCTCAGTACATTCATTCGGCTGTAAGGAATAACTGGCACAGTCCCACATGGACAGAATAGCACCAGCTGCCACTGCATACATCCTCGCTATTTACTGAGCCATAGCACTGGCCCTAGATGAAACGATTTCTTGGCCATATCCATGTGTGTAAGGAAGAACTGCATAATGTGCTTTGTTAAGGAGCACACTTTGACACATTTCTAAAAGAGTTGTTTGAATCCATCTTGCTAAAAAATGACCCAAAAAAGTCAGATTTAGATAGGAATAATGAATGTGCATGGATCTGTGTACAACTCTCTGTAAAGTAACAACAACATTAAAGTGTCTTCAGTCCCATCCTACTCACCAGATTGTCCATGTCAGTTCTGGAGAGCATGTATGTCCTCATGTTGGCATTCTGGTGAAGCAATGTGTACAGTAGTAGTGTGGCCTGGTCAGAGCGCTGCTGCTCGCACAACGCTGTGTATAGACTGTTGAAATTGATCTGGAAAGTGTGAGGTTGCTCAACGGGCAGCGACGAAGTGTCTGCATGGGCAGAGGTAAATATCATTAGGATTATTATTACATTTCTTTATTAACCTCAGGTACACGTCATAGACAGTATATGAAAAACTGTGGACCGTAAATGTATCTACCTTGTGTGTTTCTGAAACAAGTAATAGCTTGGCGGTAGGGGTTGGGCCAGCCGGGTCCATCTGTCAGATTGGCAAGGACCAGCAGTAACAGAAGGCTCTGATTAGACAAAGGTAAAGGGTTGTGTTCTTGGTCTATCCCTGCTTTGCTGCCAGCTCCACCCAATGTGAAGACACTCCACAGCCCACCTGGAGATCGGAAAGACAGACAGGTCAACCCACACAGATAAAAATATACACTCAACTACACTTTTGTTCCTTTGCATCATTTATTTATTACTTTTATTTGTGATGATGGTGGGTTCGTGTCATTTCTCTCATTTTGGTCATTTTTCTAGCAATAAATTGGTTATATTAAGCTTTTGTATTTATATTTGTATTCAATTTTTTAGTTCGCTAGAGGAAAATAATCGTCCTCTAACACACCTGTCCCGGTGTTCCCTAGGTTACACTTCAGCAAAGATAGTTTCAAGACTGGTCTGAGATTTCACCTGCAGCTCTCCATTTCAGTACAACAAAGGGGCAATCTTTGGAAAATCCAGTAGTGTGTAGTTGCAGTAGTGTGCTAAATCCAGTAGTGAAGAGCAGAGAGGTTCTGTATGTCAACCTTTTTATAGAAAGCACTAAAAGGTATTCTCACATCTTGCAACGCCTCAATCTTAAAACTGATTTACGCTTCATAGGGAAATGAATGCAAAACAGAATGTGCAGTCAGACTGATGTAATCAGGGCCAAAATGCACAATGGAGTCGTGCATGATCGTTTGCAGCACCTGAAATTTGAAACAACATAGACGGCGCCAGAGAACAAAGAGAAACTGGAACTACTGGCCAACTGGAGCGGACTTCGTTTTTCTTGTTGGGGGATGAGAGGGAGAGAGAGCTGAATTTCCTGCGGAGTAACTGAAGTGCTGGTGCTCTCAGGCGTCATGAGAAGCACGAGAAGCATGAACACCAAGGTACACAGATGACAGCCTCTGGCTCCTCCACGTCTAGCCACACAGAATACATGGACACAAGCTTTAGTGGGAGGCAGGAGGAGTGTGAGTGTGTTGTAGGTCCTCACTGATCCAGCCACTGAATTTGAGAAGTAGCCAAGTAGATTTGTTGCCATCTAGTGGCAAAAGTTGGAGGAGCAGAACAATTCTCTGGCTGCATTTACACGTTCCCTCCTTCATGTAAGAGTAATGTCATAAAAGTCATACTGATCCACCCAACTACGACGCACTAGCATCATCTGTTTATGTGGTTACTGAACCAGAAAAGATTTTAGTCAAGTGAACAAGGACACATTAGTTTAAAACATTAGAGGGGTGACATGCTTCATGTACAAAGACCTCCTACTCTATAGGAAAATTAACTCAAGGAGAAAATGGGAGGTCACATCCCATCGTCTTCTCCCTTTAGCGATGGGAAAGGAAGAAGACAGAACAAAGGAACAGCCTGTGACTGATGAAGATCCTGTGAGATTAAGAGTGGTTAAACTTTTAAAACCATTATGTATGACAAAATAAAGGCTTTTCATGTACTTTTTCTCCGTTCTCTGCCCTAGAGCTTCTTTTAATCAACTTGTGACTGTTTAAAATCTTAGTAACATCCATGATTTATATGTTGGATCGCCTCTAAATTCACTGATGACTAGTAAAAAGTTACTCCAACGCTGAACGTCAGTATAAGTATAACTGTGTACACAATTCCTGTAAAGACAAGAAGGAATTTGTTTATATTTGAATGAAAGGGCATCAACAAATTGCCTTCACAATAAAAAGAAAACCCCAAGAGAGAAATGACATCATGTGCACTGGTCAGTCTGTCTCTCTTGCTCCAAACATGATACTCTTCTTTCCTCCAATTGGCCAGAAAGAGACGTGAGTGTGAGAGAAAACAAGATCTAGAGAGAGAGAGAGAGGGCCAAGTTGTGACGGAGCCCTGTACATCTCATCACTGGCACCACAGTGACTAGCCCAACAGTGTCAGAGGGCCCGGTCTGGCAGCCACATTTCCTGCACTCTCGTGTATACACGCACACACACACACGCACACACTCTCTCTCTCACACACACATTCACAGAGCTCTGTTTTACCTTAGTGGGTGCTGTTTGTTATCCGTCTGGCTCAGTTCCCTCTGCCTGTCTGCCTGCCCACCACATAAACCCAATAATGCTACACTGCTTAGGCTGCTCCGGCCCTGGCCGGCCGCCGAGTGGAAAAAGAGGAGGAGGACATGAAGAGGAGGAAAGGGAAGGGGAAAGTGAGGAAAAGAGAAGGTCACACACGGACACAGTGGCTGGCACGCTGAAATCAGAATCTGGGTTTCAGGACTCGGGGGCAGTGAAAGCATCCTACTGTGAGACAAGCAACACAACTGCAGCCACAAAGTCTTTACTTGAGTACGAGTCTGTATCCACATCAGCAGCCTGTGAAGATGATCTTTTCTTCTCTGAAAACGCTTCATGACCTACGAATCTCTACAGGTCTTCCTAAAATATATACACACACAAACAGATGTTTATGAAAATCGATCAAACAGGTACAAAAACAGCCCAAATTAAGAGTTTCTGCAACAGAACATGAGCTTTTGACTTCTAACTAAGCCTTGGCTTTCGGATAGAAGGCTGTGTTGTCCAAATTACATTGGTCTTACATAATGACCACCACCATCACAGACATTACTGCTGGCACTAAGTCAATTTCTATATTCAAACCAAAATATAACACAGGCTGAAAATCTGGCTCTTCTAAATCCACATCTGCCCCTCGACATGCACTTCACAAGACCCTGACCCCTTAGCAAATATGAATTCACATCATGGGTATTATCAAACACACACAAGCTCTAGTGATGTACATAAATACGTCGCTGTTAGTAGACTGCTGATTGCGGGAATATTATTGGTCAACTTTGCTTAAACAATGCTGCAGTAGTTCTTAATTTCAGTCTGAATTAAGATGGTGTCCCTCAATATTTGAGGAATGTAATTCGCTCCATGCAGCTGCCAAATGTAGCAAGACATTCAATGACTATCAGAAAACAGAAAAACTCTGTAACACAAAGGTTGATTCCTTTGTGATTATACTATACGTCACTAAAATGTTAAGTATAGGCTAAGTTTAACTGGGCCTACTTCAAAATGACATCCAGAACACATAAAATCATTAATATAGCATAATTCTCTTATAACAGAAGCAGAGACTGCCTTTCTCTACTGGTTAATTTTAAACATGACACCTGGGAAAAAAGTCCATCAAGGGTAAAAAAAAACAAGATAAAAGTCCACAGCAATGCTAACACTTCTGTGACTCTGGAAAGACAGTGCTTTGAGCTAAATGCTCACAATAACAATGCTAACATGCTAATGCTAACCAAGTAATGCTTACCATGCTCACCATCTAAGTTTAGCATTAGCATAGATTTGCTAAGTAGCCCAGGACAATGGTAAGATTCATCTTCTGGGGAACGTGAATGTCGGTACAAAATCCAGACAGACCAGGATTGTCAGCAATGCCCTGCAAAGAGATTAAATCTCTGTGTACTAGTTTAAACATTTGCTTTTCCATTTCAGCTGTGCCACCTCTAACATTCACTTTAACATGTCAGGACCTCAGAGGCTTGTGGACACAATAGAGAAGGGAGCTGAGGTGGGAAATGATTCCAGCTGAGAATATACGCTTCAGTTCAGACAGAGATGTGGACGCCTAGTGAACAGAGACAGACAGAATGTGCTACTTACTTATTTACTTGCATAACAGAATGAAATATGACATCAGGGCTTCAGGCCAATGCCTTAGCCAAGCACGCAGATACACACACACGCACGCACGCACGCGCGCACACACACACACACACACAAGTCCACCAAACTCGTGATGATTATCCAAAAATGCACATGGGGAAACATGCTGTACAGACAATAAATAAACACTCTTCTGATAATCTCACAAAAATCTAAATATACATTCTCAAAGCGCTTTTATCCAAACCCAATCCAAAACCCTTCTAACATAAACATATACAACATATGAGAACATTCCAGACTTAGAATGATTTTGTAACAACTATTATAATCATGATAAAAACATATCCCAAAAATCAAACTGCCGCCACTAATATCCAAGTTATAGAAGTTCCCTATGCGAATGGGAAATGTGTGTCTGTAAGAGGAAGGCCTGCTCAACTATTACTGTGTGCATGAGAGTTAAACATTTTCATTAGAGGCAATTTTGTGGGGAGAGGAGAGGAGAGGAGAGGAGAGGAGAGGAGTCCAAAGTCCAAAGTTCTGAGTTGCCAGTCTGGGTGATAATCCCCCTGCAGATGCTCACTCAGACTCAGATAGCAGAGTGTGTAAAAACAAGACAGGAAGAGACATCCTATCTCCCCAGACATTAAAATGGCGACAGAAATCAAGCACTGCTTTGCTTTGCCAACAACCGGTGTTTGGTTCCGGGGAAAATCCAGCCCGTCTGTGAATGTGAATGTGTAGACATGAGTGATTTTAAATGCTACTAACATGAGAACCGGGTATTTCTCAACGAAAATGAAGGAATGTAAAGTAGTACCCTGTCTATTCAGAGCACTGTGTGTGATTTAAAGACTTCAGAGAGTTAGTTTGCAAGTTTAGTTTCCAGATCTACAAATTGTACATTTTTGCTGTTGATTTCTCAACGGAAGAAGACTTTAGATTTTATGGTGTATTTTTCCTACAGCTCTGGGAACCCATTGGTTTCATCCATTTCTGTACGGCCTGAAAATAATTTAAAACAGTTAAGGTAGACTTCATGTATCACAGAACTAATTTTCATACTGAAGAGAAAATGGATGGAAACCAATGGATGCATAATAATTTGGGAGTGATTTGTTGTAAATGAGCTAAAACATGCTCCTTTAAAGTGGTATTCCAGTGATTTTGTTGGGAGACTCACAAGAGATAGGCTGCTCAAAATTAAAGCTGAACTTGGTTGAGATATTCTGACCTTTATTCCCTGGTATGCATCAGGCTCCAAAAATGCTGCGTCCTTTTTGTTAAGATTTTCAGAGACGGCTAAATGCCCAGTTTGTAACACTGGCTTTTCTGCAAGGCTCTCTGCTGAGATAACCCTGATGAAATCAGGAGGATTATTTTTCAGACTTGACAAAGCTGCTCTTTCGCCACCAAGGACATTTAACAATTGTTTCTACAGGCTGAGTAGTATTAACCATGACGGGTAAACTGACCTTTATGTGAAAAACTGGTGGAATTCCCCTTTAACTACCTTAATATTTGCTCATGCTGCAAAGCTCAAGAAATTCACCTCATATTTACTGTTACTACAAAACAACACCCGTGCATACCCGTGAAATGTACTTGTTTGTGTACTCTGTCAATCCCAAATGGCCGTGCACAAATGAGTGCACGAGACAGAGAAAGAAAACAAGTGTTGTTTCTGAGCTCTGAGTATAAGAGAGCTTGTGTCTTTGTTGGTCTGCGTGTGTGTGTATAAGGGAGGCGGCTGCAGACAGACAGGCTCTAGGGGATTACGGAACAGGACAGGGCACCATAACTCATCGGGCCGATCACTGACCACAGACAGACAGGCTGGGTTGAATGCTGATGGCTCACTGATAGGAATCTGCCACCAACAACCGACAAAGAGCATTTATCTGCAGGGGAAACCCAGCCCTATTCTCACACTCAAACAAACATGCATTCAACACACTCACACACTCTCACACACACACACAGAGCATAGTGCCAGTCTAATACACACATACACTGTGTTCTTTCTTGACTCATCACTTTCATCTACGCTGCCATTGGCTGTCAGCATGGCTCACACTTTCATTTCTCAGTTTAAACATATTTCTCACTCTTTGGTTCCAAGGAAAAAGGAAAATAACTCTCACTCTCAATTCTTTTTTTACAGTCTGGCTCTTATTTTTGTAATTCTGATCTCAATCCTATCATTTATGAGAAAAATTTTTACACGACAGCTTAAAAGCACAATATGTAATTTGATGGTTTGGTGACGTTGTGAAGTAGCGTGGGAGTTGTTGTCTTCACCACCATTGCCATCACTGCAATCAGCTTCTCCCAGCTAGTATTCCTTCAGTATCAATTGTTCAAGAAGTTTTTAGTGGGAGCCGAATTATCAACAGGTCTCCTTCTCCCCAAAACAAACGGAACAAGTGATCAAAATCGGTAATAACCCTGACGTTTGCTCAGCTTGGTTCTCGGATAACTTAAGATCCAGACTAAAATCTTTCATGCGATAAAAATATATAGTTAAAAACAACCAAGATCTAAAACATGTATCCTAAAAATGCAGCTTATAGCTGAATAAAAACACATTTTACATATACATTTTACATTTCGACCCTTCTGGCAGACACTCACAATACTGACACATGAACAAAGGGGAACTGATGCAGTTGACAGACAACCAGTTACCTTCATTAAAATTACAGATTTCTATAAGTTTGAAAATAGCTAGAAACATACATTTTTAATGCAAGTACACAACCCAACAAAACGTAAAACGTAGGAGTAGTTATTGTTAGACACTTCAATGTGGAAAACTGACATACCTTTAAAAACACAAATAAAAGCTGGGGATCTGTCTACTTGCACCCCAAGAGCTCAGCAATGAAGTCAGTGAGTAAAATGTTCAGAATTGAAACAAATGATTGCCGAAATTATTATTATCATCATTATCGAGATTGTAAAAAAAAAAAAAAAAAACTGTATTTTCAATTTGCGTCATTGTTGTTGTTTCATTGTGTTTAATTTGTGTGAGGATTTGTGTACTCGTACTTGCCACCCCTGATGCCAGGCCATAAAGCAGGCCCCCCTCTGCTTTCGGCTCAAAGATGTGGGTTGCTGGAGGTGGACACTTCTCCTGCCTGATGAAGTTATAGAGCAGGGTCTTCACCAGTCGACTGGTTAAACACAAACTGGAGAGGCAAAAGGAAAGGCAGGGATGGAATTTAAAAAAAAGCCAACTCCAAACAAGTTTCAATACACTGTTATCAAGAAGATCCTTAGCCCACAGTCCACTCTAAGCTGTAATTGGTTGTGAACAACATCAAACATCACTGTTTTTGGACTCACATACAGCTTTTTGCTTACTTGACAGACCAAATGGTAAAATCATTTTAGATAGACTTCTAATCTGTTTTGCCAACATCAGCTACTTGGAAGCCTTTCTTCAGCTCAGTGGCAATTAATCCAAAGTGCTCTCGTTTGGCTCTTATGATCTGAGAGCCCTACAAGAAAATTACTTCCACCGTCTGCCCACCTCTTTAAACTGCACTACTACACTTCAAAATGCATTCAGTGGTACAGCATTTATCTCCATTTATTCATATTCATGATAACAGTGAAGGTAAATTGGGTTCAAACTGGCTCAAAGTACAGGTCAGCATCAGAAGTTTAGCAACACTTTGCTTCTCCTTTTATTAGCATTCAGTAAGTTATCTTATCACCGCATTTTACTTTTGCATTTTACGTTTGCAGTTTTAAGTTATTGTTATCATTTAAAAACCAGACTCGCCCAGATTCACAGACTACAAGGTCGCAGTGGAGACAAATGTCTTGGTTGGCTAGACTTGATTCTTTTTCTCCTTTTAGTATCAATTGAATGAAACATGAAGACATTGTTTGGAACATGATGATATTGTCTGGAAGCACAGAGCATCTAAAATTATCCGGGCCTGCATCCACAGACAATGGACAACACAGGTACTAGGGCATGGGAGAGTAACTTTCTTATACTTCCATCTTCATACAGACTTGGTTTTTGGGTTAAGGTTAGAGTTAAGATGGGTTGTAGGGAGTAAGTGAGCCATGTAGTTTCAATAGTTACTGTTACCATTTGGTGCATTATATTATTTCAGTGGTGGTCCTCAGTGGACTATGCACTTGTGTGTTTTCCTACCATCTCCCCTTCATGATGTGCTGGTAGATTATTCCATCTCGAAGGATGTCTTTGTGGAAGAGCTGATAGGAGAAGAATACCAGCAGCGTGGTCACTGCTTCAAACAGGATGCTGTAGGTGATGTCACTGCAGGGACAGATAGATTCAAGTAGAGTTAATGAATGAATGAATGAATCATCTCTTATATCACTATTTCATTGTTATCTATGCTATCAGGGGATAATCATGGATAAAAATGCCTACGCTCTAATATCAGAATATCACCTCTTTATGACTTTATTATATTTTGACAAGCAGATTATATGTAGCTGTGTTATCACAGCTATATCTCACCTTTAATGTTGTGTACACTGACATCATATTATAAAAGCGATACTGAGATAATGTGATTACCAAGTGGAAAGTGGCAGTGCTACGTAAGAATATCATTCCAGTGGGCGCCTCAGATGCACCTGGTAGAGCGCGTACCACATGGTCTTAGTCCTGACCTGACCTAAGCGGCCATGGGTTTGAACCATGGCCCTTTGCTGCATGTCATCCCCTCAGTCTCTCTCCCTGACTTTCCTGTCTATCTCAGTCTTCTACAAAAATAAGGCAAAAATGCCCCCCCCCCAAAAAATATATGCATCATTCCAGTGATGCATGTTTGTTTAACTTAAAGATCTCCTTCAGATGTATTTTTAAAAAAGGTCTGCTTGGAAAAATGTTTCTACTACTACTCTTTTCTTTCTTTTTGTTCAGAAAAATCTCATTATAAATTCTTCAAATCACATCTGCTCCTCTTCCTTCCATGAGAAAGTACAGAATATATAATTATTCAAATATTTTCATTTAAAAAGTTTTAACAGCTGGACACAAGATGTCTTCCACTTCACTGAAAAATCTATTCTCAGTGTTTATGACCTGGAGGAATCATCGCACTTATATAAGTTACATACTGGACTACAATGAGTTTCCAAAATAGTTGTGTCAGAAAATCATGCTCTTAAGTATGTATCATACACATATATCATAAAGGTCAGAATATGACTGTGAAAACAGCTTGAACTTCTAATATCAAACTCTGCACTAACAGTGAACGTCAAACATCCGAGTGAAGTAATGATGAGAAAAACATATTTTCGAGTGGGGGAGGGGGACTTTAACTGTTACCTGCTTCCTGGCACATAAACACGTACGCACACAGCTTTCACTGAAGTGACTGAAAGCGTGGGTCAAGAACAATTTCCTTTCGCCTTTAAACACAGAGTGCCAATTATGTCTCTTACTGAAGAATGGCGGTTTACTACACAGATGAACATAAATTAAAGATCAATGGCATCAATGAATAGTGTCAATGTTGCTTAATCTGCTGATTATCTTTGATTAATAATTTAGTTGATAAAATGTCAGATAAAAGTGAAAAATGCCTTTCACAATTTCCCGAAGCCCAGGTTGATCCAAAAACAGTTCAAAAATATTGTGTTTGCAATAACAGAAGCTGACAATAACCTGAAATTATTCCCACTTGAGAGGATGGTGAGTGAGCAGGTGAATCAAGACAATTCATAAATGATTAGAATTGGTGATTCATTTTTCATTTGACTAATCAGTGAATTGACAAATTGTTTCAGCCCTTTTCTGTATCAGCAGAATAATTACCTGTGACAAAGATACAGCTAAATACATAGACATATGTTGCCATGGAAAGTAAATGTCTTTACTATTAATCTGAACTAAACCTTAACTTCAATTTAACCAGTTAATAAGAGCTGCATGTCAAGGCTTGAATAATCTTATAAAAGTAAAAAAAACCCTCATACAGTAGCAAAGTCTTGAAAATAGGCTTAAATTATATTGCCTAGACGTATGCCTAAATCTATGGTATTTCATTTATCTTGCACAATATAAACAATGTTTTTAATTCATTAGAGAAACAGTTTCTCACAGTATGTGTGGAAAAAAAAATAGGGACCAACTGTGATTTGAATATCAACATGCCCTGGGGGAAAAAAAAGTATAAAAAACTACTGACATCTATGTTTCTTGTAAAATTAAATCGCAAAAGGTGCAGAGGCCTGTTAGGGATTTGGGTAATCTATACTAAAAGAATGGTAAGATTCCCATCCAAACCAGGAGCACGTACAGAGGAAATGGGCCGACGGCCACAAAGTGGTGGAGGGAAGAAAAACAGGGAGAGTCTTGAAGCTTGGAACAATGAATAATGTTGGAATGCTGAATGCATTTACACAAGAGCCAGGGTTTGATGTCCGGAGACAACAGAAGAGAAGCAGGGAGGAAACGCGAGAAAGTAGAAGAGATTGGTAGACTAGAAGAGGAGGACGTCAAGAGGGACACAATAAAGACAAGGGAAAAGAGAGGAAAAGTGGAAGATGCTGCGTCAAGGAAATAGCAATTGTCAGTCATGTTTCTGTGAACTTGTCTTGACACTGCAGAGGAGGTTTTCTCTACAGAGACGTACATACTATGTCTTTGTCTCCGTGTCAGACTGAGTGGCAGGCAGTGGATAATTCGCCCATTGATAAGTAAACACGCTGCAATATTCACTCAGACTGTGTTAGCGTGCACACCGTCCCATGAGAGTTAAGGCTGATACAATTTTTCAGACAGAACTGCATCTTCCCTCTTCTCCCACTCATTGGCAATGCTCCTAATCCAACTTTCACTTCAAGCCTTTTCTCTTCCGCTACACAACTGACACTTTATTTCTTTCTTTTAGTCTTATCCCTTCCTTTGTATTTTGCCCGTTGCTCACCATATTGCCAGCTCAGAGTTTCAGCATGAGAGTCTGGCATGTTCCATAATGGATTTCATATTCTCTTGGTTAGTGAAGCGAGGAGCGAATGAGTGAGCAGAGCACGCAAAGGGAAAAGCGCATACAAACTTCTCACAAACTGCTTTTCATTAACTGTTCAGTGACTAACATCCTAGACGCATTAACAATGAACAAACATGAGTAAAAACAAGGGACTCAAACAAAAAAGATGGGCTGAGAAACTGCACGAACTTGATGTTTTCAATTATGTATTGTGCTCAGAGAATAATGTCAAACAAGGGAACAAGTAGCACTGAGATGTTATTAAATCACTGTGTGGACAGTGTGAACAGCCTGATCATGTAAATGTCTTGTCAGTGTTGCATCAGACTTGGTCACGACACTCATGCAGCATATATATATATATATGTATATATATATATAAATAAACTAAGAAGGATACTTACAGCAGGGGCACTTCAACGATCAGGTGAACAAGGTTGGACAACAGCTCCTCAAGGAGGTCCTCGCTACCTGTTTCTTCACAAGGGGGTGAGGGAGTTATTATATGAGATGTATGTGGCAGCTCCCTGTTTATCTCTATCCTTCCCATCAGCCCCCATTTCATGCTCACTGAACAGATGAAGGGCAATAAGAGAAACTGGCTAACTGGGATTACATGGTTTCTGAAACTGTACTCAATGCTTGTTAAGATGTTTTGAGACTTGCAGATACCCTGGATTTTCTTCTCCTTACCACTTTCAGCAAGGTGTAACAAGCTTTGTGTCATTTTGCAGGTAAATCACAGAAACATATGTTTATGTTGCAAAATGAGCAAACAACTTTGTGTCTTTGTGAAAATGTCACACTTCACATGTGCAAGTGAAGACTGGTAACAGGAATAAAACAAAGAAACAGCCATGGCAGAATGATAAACATGAAGAGGCTGAAAATCTTTATAATTTTTTTCCCCACTTTCTTTTTGATGGTGTTTTCAATGTCTCTGTAAGTGAGCACCAAAAAAAAGAAAAGTTATGTTATTTACATTTGTCAAGGTCATCAAGAGGGCACACATTTGCAGAGTGTTTATTTAGGGACTCAGCGCAGAAAGGCCTAAAGTTTGAGGCCAAAAAATGATGTTCAGTAAGTGGATGCAGATTTAGACTTTTATTAACGGAGTCTCTCTGAGACAGCTGATCCAGGTCAGTAGCCAGGGGTATTTTTGCTCAATTAAAAAGTCAATTTCTTATCTCTCTTTAGGTATGAAGAGAAGTGTTACACATTTGACCCTTGTGAGTACATTTTAATAACTCACACCTTATGAGTCTGATGGGAGTCAAATACTTATTTTTATGTTCACAAGATTTCTCAGCAGATGTTGTGGATTTTGTTCAAAGTGTAGAGACACTCCTTAGAGCACTGCCTTAGAAATACCATGACCTAGATGACTGAGCACCTTCACAGACATGCTCTCCATCTGTTCAAAACAAGAGAAGATTTCTTTATGCAATGTGTGGCCCCATTTCAGTCTCCCTGTGACACACCTTCCTTTTCCAAATCAATCTGTGATGGAGCTCACCTCCACAGGAGCCTGGTGCCCTCTCCTGGTAGGAGAACTGCAGGTGCAGCTCTTCTTCGCTCATCTCCCTGATGAACACCTTGAGCAGGCAGCGAATCATGAACAGTGCGTTGTGGGCCTGCCAGATAAACAGCTGACTGCAGAGGAGAAACAAAACAAGAACATCACATTCAAGGTCAAACATGGAACTGTGACACAAATAAATGCTATGAAAAAGGGGCATTCTGCAAGATGAGCAGAGCTGGCTACATGATATTCACTTATGCCCTTTCTTTCGAAGGAAAACTTGGCTGACAATGTATGTTCTTTTGTAATATGTTGGTTCAAATGTAAACTGCTACACATATTCATATTCAAGAGTTGCTCATACTTTGGCAAGAAGAGACTGAAATTATGCCCTTGTGATTTTTACCTAATGAAACAGCAAACTGGCCTGAGGGGAGAAAGGAAATTGTTAATCTTCTCATGCCAATTAGTAAACCATCAGGATATCACACTGTAACCAGTGGAGTGTATTTGAATGAGAATCAAAAACACATTAGTTCAGGGAAGATTGTACTACAGCAAGCAACAGTGAACTTCTCCATTATAATACTACACAAGTTGCTGTTTATTCACATAGGACAAAGATAAAATCAGGACAAAGTTGTTGAGAAAGAAATGTAGAAGAAAAAAAAAGAAATGATTGGAACCATCTAGAGCAAGCTGTAATGTTTCATAACCACTAAACACCAACACGGGGGAGTCTAATCATTTCCACAAATTGACAATTTGCAAAATTTGCACATGGCAATTATGTTGCATTATGTTACACACAGAAAATGTAGGTTTGATTCTGGGACAAAACCTGTTATGAAACATGAGGGAAAAAAAGGAGTGGATGGGGAACAATAACTCCAACCTGTAATGATGTTCACTACAGACTGAAGAGTTCCCTCCAGAAGTATTTGGTAACGTGGGCAGGGTCAATCCATGGAAATGGAGTTTGGCAGCAAGAGCAGAATAATGCCACATGTGTTGATGGTTATACCTCAGCAGTTTTCTCATGGGAAACTACAACCACTTCAGTGTTTCTCTGCTTTAGAAAAATAGGGATTCCCTGCCTGCCTGTGATCAAACAATAACTGCCCTGCACAGGGTCTATCATTACCCACAGTCATCTGAATTCATTCTCTTCTGAAGGTTCCCATACTTACTCTTGGCATTCTGTGGAGATTTTCAGTTCTTTGGTTCTTCCCAGGAAAATTCTCACAAGAGCGCCAAAGTTCCCCGATCTGGGATTGTTTTCAACTTGGAAAAGAAAACAGGAGGAAAGAACTAATCAAGCGCATTACGTGAGCTACAGAAACCTCATAATTTGATAGTTTGACATCAAAACAACTACATTTAAACTCCAGAGAAGCTGACATTCACTGGGACAAATCGACTAAGGTATTGATCAGTAAAAAAAAACAAAAACAAACAACACATACAGACACAAACACACACACACACAAACACACACACACACACACACACACACACACACACACACACACACACACACACACACACACACACACACACACACACACATATTACAGGCAACATACTAAGGATCTTGGCCAAGGGGATGACGGCCTCTTCCAGCAACTTTGAGTCTCCACTGTTGACAAGAAAAACAAAAAGACAGGTAAAAAAAAAGGAGAACATACTTCAAAAATATGTTATGCTAGTAAAAATGGATCAGAGGAGCTGGTTGCTTGTATCAACTGCCCTCTGCTGTCATGCTACAAAACTGCAGTCTAATCAAACAATAATGGCACCCAAATTGCTGGTTATTTGCAAGTGTCACAGGTCAGCAGGGACAAGTCATGCAAATGCCTCTAAAAGTCAGAATGAGATGACTTTTGCTAGTGACACATGCTAGTGTGTACTGCACAACTGTACAGTACTTTTTTTCAAATATTTTTAATGGAGCATTAGATGTGTTAGAGACATTCATGGCTAAAACAAACTAATAACATCTATACATTTTCATTAGAGTTTGATCTGTTTCCTTTCGGGTGGAAAGCTCTGTCAAGTGCAGTAGGCTACAGGGAATGCCTCTCATTTTTGATAGTAAGACACATTAATCTCTCCCGATCGGCATTACTATTATCACTTTTTTATAAAAACATTAAAAACTTTTTTATAACTTCCAATGAGCTAAAATTAGCAGGACCAGCTGGGTCACATTAAGACCCTTAAATGAATAGTTTGACATTAGGGGAAATATACTTATTCGCTTTCTTGCCAAGAGTTACATGAGAACCTTGATAGCACTCTCATAAATAGCTGGTTAGCTCAGCCTAACACACAAACTGAAAACAGGGAAACAGCTGCCTGGCTCTGACCAGTGACACAATGTTTGACGGGGGTTATGCACTGGACTATTTCTTGACCGGGAGCAATAACTTGCTGGAGTCTGCAATGGTTGTCCGCTAACTGCCCTGACCAAGACTTAGTCAGATAAACTTGTAAGCATTGGAAGTTTGGTTGCCCTTGGATGGAGCCAGGCAAGCCACCCCCCCCCCCATTTCCAGTCTTTATGCTAAGCTAAGTTAACCCGCTGCTGGCTCAGCTACATATCTACCATACAGACATTAGAGGGGGTATCTTCTCATTTAATTCTCAGTATGACAGCAAATAAGTGTATTTCCCAAAATGTTGATAATATAATGTTACCTCGCCAAGGCACAGGGACAGACAACTATTACAGAACAGCTGGACGGAGATCGGACGGAAACTGTAATTTTTGACTCAGAGTGGTACTCTCTAGTAGTAGTTTAACATCCATCCCAACGTAAAGGACACATGGGAGTATGTGATCAGTGACGGTTATAATGTTTAAAACGTATGCATCTATTTTCATACATAACGGAAGCATAAATGAGCCTTGACACTTTATTCAAAAGTTAATGTTTCCATTTAACATGAACAGATTCTCTATTGGAAGAGCTCCTCCACTTCCCTGTAGTTCCTGAGCAGCCAGGAAACCAGGGTGGCTCAGAAGTTGAATCAATTTAATTTAATTAATTTCATTCAATGTAATTTAATTGAGTTGACTCAATTTAGTTTAATTAATTTCACGCAACCTAATTAAATTTAAATGTTACATTAATAATAATTCATTAATAATAATACCAATAATTTAATAATTATTTGATTTTAATTTATATTTTATTTTTATTTGATTTCAATTATTGTTATTATTACAACAACAATAGTTTAATAATTATCTTATTTTAATTCAATTAGATTTACTCAATTAAATTGTATTAAGTGTATTTTAAAAGGATCAAACAGTGTCAGAGAAACACTGATTTTGAAGGGTGGAACTGCTTTTCAACACCCGATAAAAACCTCCTGTACAAATAGCACTGAAGAACAACTCCCATGATCCCTTTATGGGAAGGAGCCAAGGTTTGTTCAAAAAGTCACTAGATGTTTTGCTCTCTGTTTCATGAAAACAACGTCACCAAAGAGTCAGAAAAATCACTAAATCTAAAGTCAAAGTTGTTTGACACTGGAAAGGCAAAGCAGCAGATCCATCGAATATAGAAATATTATCACTCATTCAGTCAGTCAGTCAGGGACATTCCAGATTATAGGGCTGGCCTTGCTGTTGCAGTCCAGCCAAACACATGCAGCGTTTAGAAAGTAAATAATTCCTTAATTGGTCACCTTTCTTTAACCGTTTGGTTTAATAATTATTCATCAGCCACACTGATACATAAAGTATAAAGTATATTCCTTACTTCTTCCTCCTAGAGCTGAAACAATTGGTCGATTCATTGATTAAGGCATTCACAGAAAATTTATTGGCGACTAGATTGTTGAGTTGTTCAAAAATGCTATAAATTCTCTATGGACTGATGGTCAAAGACATGTAATATGAATACATCAACTGAAAGATGAGAAGGTTGGTGTGTAAGTGCAAACAACTTTACAGAGGTGAATGATTGACAATCTCTTTCGAGATGAATATGTAACATTTCCTCTCAACACTCTTAACAAAGGAACTAAATGTTAACTAGTCGATCCATTCTCAGCCAGTCAAGACAATAACCCTGTTAGATCATTAATCAGATGAGCTCTGAGAACATCCTGTCTAGTGTCCACACATAAATGTTGGATCCAGCTTGGAAATGTTGCAGGACTTTCTAAATGGAAAGGTTGTGTGTCTGTGGCTATAGCATACTATCACTCTTGAGTAGATGTTTGTTTTACACACATCAACTACACAACATTGAAGGGAAGAAACACCTCAAGGGGATATCTTTCCCACCACGGCCCCTATGGACCACAGATAAACTCCTAAAACTAATGATCATTATTTAAAGTTGGATTCCACAAAATCAGAAAACCAACAAATCAATTGTATAACTAAATTAATAAATCAACTGATTGAAATAAGTAAAGCTGCAACAATTGTGACCCCACTAATTGCTAACTGCTCTTCAGCTGGACCCTCTCTGCAGTTCCTTTGCTGTAGGCACAAGGATGGCAAATAGTGGGGCAGTCTGAGAGTATTGTACTGCAACATTCTGGCAAATAATCTGACAAATATCTAACTTAATTTTTCCACATGTGTTTGTTTACCTGCAGGTGGGACTGATGAAGGTGAAGGAGATGAGCTGGTTCCAGAAAGGGTCATTCTCCGATATGGACTCTGTGCCCACCAGGGCCTTGAGGCTTGGATTATCAGACAGGTCACTGACCTGGCTGGTGTTGGCTCCCATCTCGACTGGCTCCACTCAGCCAGACTCACCACTCTTCACTGCTTTTTCACCAGGCATATGCCAAATCCTGGAGCAGAGGAAAGGCTTTGATTTTTGGTGCCATCACACATAATGAACATCTATGCGATAAACTATGTATGTCTAATAAATAAGCTATTACGTTTCTCTGTCTGCACTCAAATTCAAATATACGTAGTAGGACATGCCCTGGTAGCCAAGGGGTTTCAGGCACTGATGAAATAATCACAGCCTCCTTTGTTCGAGTCTGGTCGGGGAGGGACCTTTATTTGTTGCATGTCATTCCCCCATTTCTCTTCCCTCATTTCCTGTTTGTCTGTACTATCTGCTCTCTGATAAATGCATAAATCATTCCCCCACCAAATAAATGTTGGAATGCTGGGAAGTAATTTACATACCTTAATCTTATTTTTCTTTCATTTCAGATGTCCAGATTAATTATTAAGATATTCACACAAACACATAGCACATCTGCCAATTGTTGCTTTCACAAACAATGTAAATACATGCACTAAAAATACCCAAGCCAATTTGATAACTACACTTCAACCATTATTGTCTTACAAGATTTTTCATTTACCAGGTACACTGAGTTTGACTTCTCGCTTAAATACAGGTACTAAATACAGGTAAACTTCACCTCTGAGTTTCTTACAATACAAGAAGCCATGCTACCACTGGACCTTATAACATGGATCTCTCCCCATCCTTGTGCACTCAGTTAGGCTGTTTATTCGGTACCCCTAGCAACAACTAATGCAGTCTAATATTTTAGCTTTACAATAAATCCTACTTTCATGAAGGTTATAATGTTCTTTTTTTTTTTTTTTTTTTTAAACTGTTTCGGAGGTGTTGTTTCAACCTTAGGTTCAATTTTGAGGAAGTAATTTGCGGTGCTATTGAACTGTATTGTGTAATACTAATGAGTGTTTGAAATATTTTGTCCACCCTACTCATATCAGTATGGGTAGGTGAAATAAAAATAGATAGATAGAAAGACATACTACATACTACTACAAACATACTAGCATAAGTTTTAGTTAGGCATAACCAATAAACTGCCAATTCAGTGAATGGTTTCAGCAATTATATAAGAGCAAACAAAGTCTGTCTTCATTAATTCCAATACATTCATTCATGAGAGAGGCCAACTTCACAACAGGATGACACATAAGGAACCAGGACTTGAGTTTTGTTTTCTTAAAATGACACACCTTTGGTATACAGGTGTAGCCTGTGAGACAACATTTGCTAAAGTGAACTGGAACACATTAGAAACACGTAGACGTAGAGTTAAACCACAGAGGAGGATAGTTTCTGCCTCTCGTGTATTATATGATTATAACAATATTGATAATGGTTATACATGAAAGGCAGAAACCTGAGCTATGAAGGGGTTACACTGTACATGCCATATGCAAAAACATGCTATTTTCTTATCATTTTCTTATTTTCTTTGGCGAATAGACCTTGCCAGACCAAACTTAAGTTGCCAGTGTGCTATCTCATTTGTCTTTAGCTGTATTTGCCGCTTCAGTCAACCAACTTGCATGACGTTAGCTAGCTCATCCTGTTCGAGTGCAGGAAATACTCTGTGCCCCGGCTATTTTGACAGTCAAGTCGGTATACTCACAGTCTGATATCAGCATGAAATAATAGCTACGTAAATGGAAGATTGAGATGCGTGTCCAGACAACCCGTGGTTAATAAGTCCCTGTCCACAAAGCAGCTAACGTTCAATGCTTGTTTGCAATCAGCTGACCGCTCGGCTTACCTGTCATAAATGCTTCTCGCAGTTTCCGTTGCTCTCTCGGCTCTCAGGACTGTTAAGAGGCGACTGTTTTTTTTACATCAATTAGCAGCTTTGTCCAGTTTGTTTATTGAGCGTAACTCACCAAGGCAAATACTTGAAATTGTGTGAAATTTGAGGCTGTTAAGTTAACTCTACATACTCCTTTCCTCCATGTTTTCCACGTCGCCAGCCATTGCGTAATGACGTATTTACGTCCGCGACGTTGCAGATAGAAATAGGGCTAATAGATTCTAAGCGCCTACTCTAGATGATCTAGATCTAAACTTTAATATTCTATCTATACTTAGAAGTTCTATCTTAAAACTCCTAGAAGTCATTACAAATATTCTGCTACCGCCCTCAGGATGTACTCATTTTATTTTTCACAGAGCCTGCTATTTATACTATAAATTTATACTGTCTGAATATCATCAATATGAACATCTATGCACGTTTAAAATGATCAGTCTGCAAACTAGTTGCGATGGAGGCATTTGTCAGAATGGAAGTCAATATATTTTCCTTTATCTATTAATTAAACTCTAACTTTAACTTAGCAAAACGATTCCATAGGGAGTGAATACACTCAAGAATACACGTTCACATTGTATAAATTCGTGATAATAAAAAAGTGAAAAGAATAATTAATTTGGGAAGCTTCTGAAACCCATTTAAAGGAGATTGATAAATTAATTTATGCAGGCAAGGTAAATTTATTTCTACAGTATTTAAACAAGGCAATTCAGATAGATACACATTAGACATAAAGAAACACAAGGTGATATAAAAAAGATTAACATAAATATTTATTTTATATTTATCAAAAATTTAATAAAATTGATAAAAACAGGAGAATAAAAGTGATGGTACAGCTTCAGTATAGTCCAAGATATGAATGAATAATCCCATGTTTAATTCACTAAAGAGCAGTGGCAAACAAAACACCTCTATTCCAAAGAACAGAGACCTCGAGTTTGTCTGTGGTGGATAAAAACTGAATTCTTTCTGACAGTTAGCAGATGTCCCAGGTTATTTAAGACGCCTGGACAGTACATAACACAGCAGCAGGTCAGAGATGTATTGTGGCCCTAAATCATTCAGTGCTTTATAAACTAATATTAGTGTAAAGATCTGAAAACTTTTGTCTTGGTCTTAGTGAGGACTCTGGTCTTCCAACATTAGCGACAGAGGCTGGGCACTGACTTTTAATCATTTGGTAAAAAATAATTTAAGCTCTAGATATAATGTTCAGTAATCATGTGGACATATAAACCAAAACCATTAGTTAAAAGAGAGACCTCCCATATTCCAAATCAATCCTTGCAATATCTTACAAATACAGGTGTAAACAGAGATGTCACCTTTGCAGAAACGGCAGTTGAAGCCTTTATTGATGATTACTTAAGATTATAGGTGACTAATGCGAAACCCATTACCCTTTATTGAAGACTTACTAGCATTCATAACTATAGACTTGATGAAGGGCTGGCAAAGCGTCGTGCTGAAGGGGCATTTTCCATTACCTGGCAACCTAAAAGTGCTTATTGTCTTGTAACTGACCTGTAACACATTAGTAACCTATCTATTAACCATTAAAAAAGTAATTAATAACAGCTTAAAAAAATTCTTTATAAGTGCTGCCTTATCAGAAAGAGGTACAATAAATTCTACACTAATGTCAAATATATTTCAGTAGGAAATGGTTAAAACAGATTTTCAGCAAAGATGTGAGAATCATTTTGTTGTTACAGCAGCAAACAAGCTTTACAGAGACATAATATTTATATCAAATTTATATTGTTTAGAATGTCATTAAATACAAACAAAATTGAGTTGTTAGTGACTACACAATGTGAAAATGAGCGAGCTGGTTGAGGTGGAAGCACAGCGTGTATGGCAGTAATAAATGAGCATCTTTTTTTTATTTGAAGGTTCTGTTTTATTCAGTTATTAAACTGCAAGTTTGACTTAGAAAAACTATTTCATTAAGACTGAATATCCAATAAAGTAAATGCATATATCGACATGATTAACAGGGAAAACGTAACAATAACCAATTCATTAAATTTACTGAATGAAAAAATTAAAAATTCACACACAATTTTGGAAGGTTGTAAAAACCACTCCATTCAAAGAGAACTGATAAGTTATTTCATAGTTTATCTATATTATATTAATGGAATATTTACACAGTTTTATAAGCATTATAAACATTTAAAGCTGTCAGTCTGTCTTCTTATCTGCTGCTATAGTAGATCCATTGGCAGTGGCCTCACCATTGCTTTCCGGCTGAAACATATAAGAAAGAAAATTGTAGAAATATTGATTTTGAAGAATTTATCTGAAATCCTTGCACTAGCCAAGGGCTGAAATTAATATAACAATATTAATAAGACTATTGGTATGATAGTGATATTCAGTATGTCATGGTATCACAAATGCATGCAAGATCATATATAAAATACTTAAAAGGATTCCAGAGTTATGTATTACATAAGACCACACCATCCATTTGAATAAAACAAAAAGTTCAAGTTCAAAGTTCTTACAGTTATTCAAAATACAATGGTAAATTATCACCCAGCACTTCACAAATAAGTAAACAAAGTGAAAAAAATTAATTATTAGAATATCATGGTAAAAATAATTATTTTACCTTGTGAGTCCCATTACTCTTTTCACTAACTTTTTGGTCACTTGTGCCAGTCTCCTGGACTGCTTTTTTGGTCCAGAATGTATTAATAATTGGTGAAATGAAGGGATATAGGATAGGCTCCAGGAACCTCTTGTAGACCCACAATAGGACAGGAATCACAATACAGGGAATGCACACCATGACTGTGGCTGAGGTAAGCCGTCCGAAGTGAAGAACCTGTAACAAAGAAAATATACATATTTTTATTTATTTATTTATTTTTAATGAACAAGGTAGCCATTTAATTGATCAGGAATGCAACTCATTCTTGTTTTCATTATGGAGTAATCTGCTAATTATTTGCTAGGTTAATAGACTGATTGTTTTGCCCAAAATGATGCTTGTCCTGTCCAACTAATATCCCGAACCTGAAAATTATTAAAACAGAAGAGCTGTTGTGTTTTCAGCTGTCCTCGGTAACCGACGTCTGAGACTATTTCGTAAGCTGTCAACATGTAACTGACTGGAGAAATACACTTTGCCAGCGTCGTCACGCTGCTAGCTAAGGCTAGCTTCCTGCTGTCTCTCGATGGTTAACACAACTACTGTGAAGATTTGTAATAAAGCTCCAGGCTAGACAACATTTTACTACCCAAAGGACTTTAAATGAGTAACAATCCTCACCTCTGTGGATCACAAAACACCAATGCTGTCACTTTGTGTCGGTGTAGACAGGATTTCTCTCATGTGTTTTGGACTCCGCTGAGAAATCTCTCGAATGTGATCACACATGCGCAAAGCCGTATTTCCGTAGAAGAGGAGAGAGGCGGAAGTAACCGAGGCGCCTTTCTTCAAAACACAACTGTGTGGGTCGCTGAACTACAACTTTGTAAGTGACTCGCACATAAGCACAGCTGGACACTAGCATTGTTTTTTAATCTCTTATTCACCGAAGACGCTAGATAGTACAGATCATAACACTGAAATTAGCGGCAGTTGGCTATTTGCATTCTTTTTAACTGTACGTGATCTGCTGTAGCATGTAGCCCAGCTAGAAATAGATCGCAGACAGTAAAATGACAGTTTAGTGCGTTTGTTGTACAATTTACATTAATCATTTTTCTGTGAAGCGTTTAATCTTCAGTTAAATAATATTATATGTAATATTAATATATGAATATATGCTGCCCGAGAGGCTGAAGTCAGCTAAAAGTTTTAAGGCCACTTTCAGGTTTCACAAATCTCAGATTTGACAAGTCTAACTACAGTGGTTTTTTGAGTGAGACCGGGTCTGGTGTGGTCTCCTGGGGAACGAAACAGTGAAATCGCAATTCTTTGTTTTCAGAACTACATTATAAGCAGTATCCAAATTTGACAGGTTCAGATGAAGTGGTTATTGATCTAGACCTGACCTGATATGGTCTAGATGGGAAACCTTGCATTTTCTACTACATAGGTATGATGCTTAAATATCAAAATGGTATCCAAGTTGTAATAAAGAGACATATCTGTTAACTATCTGCTCTATACATTTTTACCCTGCTGAACTTGTGCTATCCAAACCATTCTTGCTGTGTGTCTCCATTTCAGTGCTACAATGCCTCTGTCCACCCAGTCTCAGGCTGACGATGAACAATACGTTTTAGTTGCCAGTTTGGACCATGCTCGCAACCTCTCCAACATACTGAAAGCAATCGCCTTCAAAGACCATGCCATCTTCAGCGCCACACCCAATGGCCTGAAGGTCACTGTGGAGGACTCCAAGTGTCTGCAAGCCAATGCATTCATCCAGGTGTGTTTGATTTGCATTTGTAATAAACTTTAATAATGTTCATGGTGCGCAGACAGGGTTCTGGTTTGTCCAAACTGCACCGTTGTGTTAGAGGTATCTCATTGTGATATTATAAATAGCAAACTCTGTTTATTCCAGGCTGAGATCTTCCAAGAGTTCACCATAAAGGAAGATTTGGTTGGTTTTCAGGTCAACCTCACTGTTCTGTTGGACTGCCTAAATATTTTTGGAGGAAGCACAGCACCAGGTAAAGATAAAGGAAACCTGGCTGTAAAGTGGGCAAAAAATTAGAGACATAATTCTATTTTAACTGTTGACTAAATTTGTTAATTTTCTTTATCCATAGTCGGATTTATACCCTTCTCAGACCTGACTCAACATTTTCATTATCTTCCTGATCTGACGTTGCAGGGGTGTCAACGGCCTTGCGCATGTGCTACAAGGGGTACGGTTACCCTCTGACCTTGTTCCTGGAGGAGGGTGGCGTGGTGACTGTTTGCAAGATCAACACACAAGAACCTGAAGAGCCAGTTGACTTTGAATTCTGCAGCACCAACGTCACAAACAAGGTGAACTTTATCTGTTTCATATGATGAAACTGGAATACTATACATCTTCATAAATGTGCTTAGATTTACAAAAACAAGCCAATATTAACCCATTCCTTTAGATGCTATATATGAACAACAATACGCATTTCTGTTTATTGCAATAATTGACTTAACTTTACAGATCCATTAGGAATATATTAGACAGTATCAGCAGGTGAAAACAGTCATTGGATACATGGAATTGATGACTACTCATGTATCTCTGGATCTTTTTCAAAGGTGATCCTGCAGTCAGAGAGTCTGAAAGAACCCTTCTCTGAACTGGATATGACCAGCGAGGTGCTACAGATCACCATGTCCCCTAGCCAGCCATACTTTAGGTGTGTTGTCAAAAGTATTCAAACAGAGAAAAAAATATTTAGTCTACATCAGCTATGCTCTTTTACATCAAGTAAATATTTCAAGAGGGATACAACTACTACACCTAGTTCTATAGTTATAAGATTGCTAGTCTATTATTGGTCTGATTAATCTATACAGTGTGTGAGGTTCACATATTACTACACTGATACTACCACTGCTGTTTAATCTATTTCTTTCTGAAGCAACGTTACATATTGTTTAACCTTTTGTCAGTAATTAAAGTAACTACTTAGTGTTATAAGGAAGAAAACTTGCATAAAGCCTTTTTCATTTGATCATGTTGACTCTGAAATGAATTTTCAACTAACTTTTTCTTTGATTTTATTCTTCTTTCCAGGTTATCCACGTTTGGGAACTCTGGAAATGCTCATTATGATTATCCCAAAGACTCAGACATGATGGAGCTGTTTCGGTGCACCAAGACACAAACCAACAGGTAAGCACAGTCACAAACAGCACAATAAGACTACAGAGAAATACATTATGCTGTTATGACCGCAAACTGGACTTCAGTCTTGGGATGGGATTGGGATGACTGCTGAGATCATGCTATTCATAAATAATTATATATAAATTGGATTAAATTAAACATGCGTTAACCCTGTGGATGACCTTCAACTTTTGATTTCTCTCTTTAGCTTTCAAATCACTGCACACAATAGTTCAACCCCACAGGTGTTTTCACTTAATTTGCCTGATTAGACCTCTCCTCAGGACTGTGTGGGTGTGTGTACACTGTAATACCACAGCATAGCTCCACCCAGCCTAAGCAGAGGTCTAATCAACCAGAATGAGTGACACCTGTGTCGGCGTGTAGGGCCTTGTTAAAATATCTATAAAAAATGCCTGTTTAGTTGCTTTAGTGTTACAGTTGCATTACATGTATTATCACTCACTGAGTACTATCCCCTATCATTATACCTCCATATTCTGTGCCGTCCCCTCTGTTGACTGCTGACAGGTACAAGATGTCCCTGCTGAAGCCATCCACCAAAGCCCTGGCATTGTCCTGTAAAGTCTCTGTGAGGACAGACAGCAGGGGCTTCCTCTCTCTGCAGTACCTGGTCAGGAACGACGATGGACAGATCTGCTTTGTAGAATATTATTGTTGTCCTGACGAGGAGGTGGAGTGATTACAGTGCATTCATTAAATTCCCCTTTACATACGCACCTTAACTTCAGGAGTGGCCAGTAGCTTTGACTGAGTGCAAGGATGAGAGGACAAAGTCTGCCAGAGGAGGCAGTACAGTCAGTGCAGTGCACACAGGAAAAAAATACAGGACTTATAGTGGGCATAATGGATAATGGACATAGCGAGAAAGGTTGTTTTAAAAAAAGAACTGGTTCCTCATTTTCCAAATACTCACATTTGAGTGGACCATTGCCTCTGGACTTATGGAAAGATAATGTCACCTACCTGGTCTTGTATACCTGTGTGTAGTCTGACCACTATCATACTGAGTTCATGATTTCATAGATTTGGAAAATTATTTGTATGTAGTTACTGTATGTTGTTTGTTACTATGGAGACCTAGCTATTTTGAGTCCAAAGCCCCTCAACATAAGAACACTGCCTGTAAGTGATGAGTCTGCATGGCTTGTAGTCCAGGATTTGTCTGCATACAGAACATATCTCATATCATCTTTCTGGAGCAGATATGGCACACTGGCACTATTTTCTCCTGGTGTGTGAGCTCTGCACATGTATCGCCACTTGGTTATAATGCGTCCCTGATGATGTTGTGTACGTTTACAGCTTTCATGACATTTGTCTGGAGTATACATCAGATGATGCTGAGAGTAAGTTTGAATCATTTTATTTCCATGACATAGAAAACTGTGGTCAATCAAAATCAATAAACAAGTTTTTTTTTGGTTTTTTTTACACTGATGGAAAATGTTATTTTATCAAAAAGAATCGGCAAATATTGTTTGCAGTATTGCAGAAGGTGAGACTTTTATGGTCAGCTACCACCTACACAATTCTTATGATGAGGGAGCAACATATATATTGTATGAATTCAAAAATGATGGCAACAAACATAGAACACAACATGAGCATAATTAAGATTTTTCTCTAGGACTGTCAAATCTGATACTTCAATGAGGAAGTTTTATTATAACCTAACAAAAAACTGACTCATGGCAGCAGTAAGTCATTCAGTCAGCTTCATCCAGTCCATCCAGCTACCTGCGTGCCATCTGCATCCTTTGCCTTTTGAAAGGTTTTTGTTTTTTCTTTGACACTTTTGGCTCAGGTGCTTCTGTTTCAATGTGAACAGGCTTCTCCTCAGCTGGTGTCAGGAAGACGTCAGCTGTAATATCTCTGACCAAATCCACCTTCGTATCAGTCCTCTTCATTTTCTGCATCTCCTTCACCATCTGCTTCTCACGCACTTTGGCTGCTGCTGCAAGTCGGATCTCTCGCCGGTGCTGTAGGTGTGTGAAGAGAGAGGTGATTAAACCAATCAAAAAGTGTATAACTCTACACAGTAATTTCCCCATTCTGTAGCAACTGTGCCCATTTTACTGTTAAAAAGACATTCAACATGGGTATGCAACCCAACACTATGTAGCATATTAAGGTGTTAGGCATATTACACTCCCAAGATAAGCAAAGACAGAGAGAGTATGTCTACAATTTCAACTGGCATGAACTGGGATTTACCATGTTAGGAGACTGGAAGCCTGGGTTTTCATACAGCGTAGGCCCACCAAAGCTCCCCTGAAAGATCTTGATTAGGTTGAGAACAAATCGAGGACCAATCTCCACTAGAGAGGCATCTTCCTCGATGATCTGAACATGGAATGAAGGGACAGAGAAATTATTGCAAAAGGAAAGAAAATAAAAATAACTGAACATTAACTTTCAGAACCTTCATATTGGAACATGCATTTTTCTTCTCAAGGCGATAAAGTATAAATTAATGCATTTTTATTACCCATAATCAAGTGTGATGAAAAATTACCTGGTAGTTTCTAAACCATATCCTGTTGTCTGCAATGGTGAATGTGAAGACGTGGTCCACAAAAGGCTGACTCTTAGGGTGGTAGCGTGGAGTGGAAAATGTCTATGACAAGAAAACATCATGAGAACTTCCTTGCATGTAAAAAGGTAGATATACAACCTGCTCAGCTTTCAGGATTAATGTATATATCTTCTGACATGCAGCTTGTATACAGACCTGGATGAAAAGCTCCTTCAGTAAAGCATACTGGGGCTCCTTGTCAAATTTCTGTGGGTGAAAACAATTAGTAGAGATGGGAATGATGGGAAATCATTTACCAAGAGTGGAGTGTGCAGGTTTTTGTTCAAATACCAAAAAGACATCAATAAAAATGTCTTCTTAAGTTGTATATGCACTGAATGCTGAAAACTTGAAAACAAGTGTTTATTATTTTAATGAGGCAATCAACAGGAAAATAATCAGCAACCATTTTGAATGTAGCAAACGCCAAACATTTTCTTCCTCCAGCATTTCAAATATGAGGATTTCCCACTTTATTCTGATTTGTATCATTGCATACTGAATATATTTAGGTTTTGTGCTGACATCACATTTTTTCAGTTTTCTGACGTTATAAATCAAACACTAAATCCAAATCAATAATTAAATTATAATTAGTTGTGACTCCAGTTGTGCTAATCAGTGAAATCATTTGGTGTCATTTTTGGTTGGAATTGTAAGACTTTGTGGCACACAGCTGCCCATTACCAACATACTGTATGTTTCCAATAAAAATAATACAAGTGGTAAATAACTGACGGCAGGTGCTACTCACCGGATCGAATGACAGCAGCGGCCTGGATCCTTTGAGGCAGTTTCCTGTCATTTTGAGTTCAGCCAGTGTATGAACTGTAGAAGAGACAATAATGTAACTCTGTTTTTCCTGTGGCACAAGGTAGATGTTGTCTACTGGACTTCAGGACTGTAAGAGAGATAACTCACTGTTCTGAACCAGGAACTTTGCAGAAGGTCCATGAGGGCTGTTTGAAACCCTGTAAAGACAAGAACATTATTGCATTTACTTTAAATTTGTTCTGCAACAGGTTAGAGGTTAATGTTTAAAGAATGTAACAAAGAAAAAATAACCTACCACATATAGAGGTCCTGCTTCTTCTTGGCCTCAAAAAAGAGGCATTTGTTGCAGTTTTTGATTTCACACACCTGCAAAACAATGCTGATCTTTAACTATACTGTAATGCGTGCGATACTGTATGAGTGGGCACAGTTTAAACAGCAGACTCACCTCATTAACTACAAACAACTTGTCCTTTCTGTCCATTTTTGTATCTATCAAACAGAAGAAAACCATTATTATTATGACAGTATATTTCCATATCTCTGGGTGAAATAATATCTTATATGATTGAGCTATGATACTAACCTGCTTTTGAATGAGGCATCATGGTCCTCAGGTCTTGCATCAAGTGTCTTGTTCTGAAGTTGATGCCTCTTGAGGAGAAAATGAGAACTCTTTCCTTGTTGGTCCATTTGCCCTGTTTAAGAGAGTTTATTTCAAAACTTCAGAACAAATTAAAATAATGTTATATGTGAAAGGATTTTACCCTGTACCCGGGCGACTTCTTCGGGTTTAATATCGTGTAGGAAATATCAGATTTAGTTTTGGCTTTGTGAGTTTTTTGGTGGTAAACTCACATACTCCTGGTCAAATTGTGTATTACCGACATACTCTCTGCCAATGTGTACACCAACGTTATATTTCACTTTTAGTAACAGTGTGTTTACTAAATCTACAGGTTTGGTAGCCATGTTTGTGCAATGTTTTGTAACTTAAATACAACATACCCAGGTAGAGTGGTGAAATAAGCTAAGGAGCTAACCAACTTCAGTGGCTAATAACAAGTCTGAGCACTTACCGACGAAACCGGTGCTGGAACTGTGATTTCATTTTTCTCCTCCCGTTCGGTTTCCCTTGGTGCTTCACCTCCGTCTGCAACAATTTTTGCTTTCTTTGCCTTTTTATCGACAGGACCTCGTCCTCCACGTTTTCTCTTGAAAGCCGACATGTTTGGTTTCTACACTGACACAAATCTCGCGTTGCTAGAGGCTACGTGTAGCAACACACGTGTGGACTGAGGAGGAGGGAGGGTCCCCTAGTGGCGCGGAGGTGGTACTGCAGATTATTCGTCTTCCTGTTCTTCTTTTTCTTCTTCTTTTTAATGGAAGTTGGCAACCAGCGTAATAGCTGTATTACCACCACCTTCTGCCCCGGATTGCTCAGCCCCTGATACAGAGTCAAAAAAATGTACGTATGTATGTGTTTGAGTGTCCTCAACGGCAGCTACAGCCACGAATGCAAGTCTTCCTGTCTTCACTAGAGAGCACTGTGGGATAATCAATCGCACTTTCTGTACTTGAGACCCACTTGTGCGCATGTCTATCAAACTACATCGGGAACAACACTGAAAACTGGGAAATAAAATAGATTGTAGTAGTCAAAGTGCACTAATCGATATTTCATTAACGATTGTTAATTTACATTTTAATAGTTTAGGCTGGCTGTAGAAACGAATAATAACGAGAATTATCGTATTATTCTTGACCATCAGCCAATCATTGACAATGTTGCAAAACAAATCCTAACGACATCAACAAAAGCTAACTGGAGTCAGGAGTTATCGAACATGGAGTCGAGTCAATGAAACCAGATTGGAAGTGTGTGTTAGAGCTAGTGACTCGTAAAAACAACGCATTTTGAGTTTGCTATTCACAACGGTAGAGGGCAGCAATACGCGGTTATGGCGTCAAATCTGCCAAAATTATGAAAAGAAGAATTCTCGCGAGATTTAGCGGTAGCAGCAACGACTCTCCTGTTCGTGGTATATATATATATATGGTCCCAACAAGTAACTTATAAGAAGCTGTTAAGTCAGTATAAAGAACGTCGCACAGATTTGAATATGTAATACCAAAAAATTACAATATTGTCGCTATTACCTGAGAAGTCTGGATTGTTTTAAAGATGAAGTAGAGATGCTGCCCGGTCGCTAATATGCTGCAGTTAGCTACATGCTAAAGTTAGCCTCGTCTGGGACAACAATTTTCAAGTATTTATCGTAGTGTCAGGTTTCTATTCACAGTTATCTAACAATGAAGTGTCACTATGAAGTATTAGGTGTGAAACGAGACGCAGGAGATGATGATTTGAAGAAAGCCTATCGTAAACTAGCATTGAAATGGCATCCAGGTAAGTTGTGGTAGAAACAAGGAGTGTCTCTGATGTTCAAGCGTCATTACTGCACTTGAATGAAGTCCTGAATTCACCCCTATACTAAAAGGTGTTATAATAATATTTCCAGAAAGTGAAGTTGCCTTAGGAAAATACCATCCACTGCAATTGTAGTTGTCTGTATAGGTGCAACGATCAGTTGATTGACAGAAAATTAACTTGCATAATCGAATAATTGTTTTAAGCCTTTATGTAAGAATTTCTTTGTTGTACATGATAGTAAACTGAATATGTTCAGAAGTTGGACGAGCAAAATTAGACATTTGAAGACATTAACATGGGCTGTGGAAAATTATAATGGGCATTTTTACTCTCTTCTGACAGACAAAACAATTAATCAACAGATTTATCTGTAATGAATGTAGCCCTGCTCTGCAACAATTCTTCACATATCGATTGCATTGTGTGCCTTTAGTTATCCAATTTGGCTCCGCTGGGTCACTGAATG